CCCCCCCCCCCCCCCCAACCCCTGCCCCCGGCGCCCTCCGTCTTTCCTCTCCCTTTTTAATCGCAGGTCCGCCAAATTCGTTGGCGTATTTCGATTCCAGGAAGTTGGCGACCGGTGGCGGGCGGGTGGACGGACTGGCGGGCGGAAGAGGGAGAGAGAGAGAGAGGGGCGGAAGAGGGTGCGAGAGAAAGCGTGCGGAAGCGAGGGAGGGCGCTCGTCTCCACGAGCCAACCGATATAGGGAGGCATCCTTGAAGTTGGTGGTGTGTAGCAGTGAAGGTGAGACGGGGAGAGGGCGGAGGAGAGAGAGGACGTAGAGGACGGAGAGGGTGACAGAGGAGGAGGAGGAGGAGGAGACGCAAAAGAATGCGTTTGTGACAAGCTGGCAGCAGAGCTCGGCGAGGGAACTTAGTCACTAATCGAGTGCGAGAGTGGGGAGGTGGGGGGAAGTGGTGGTCCCGCGTCGTATGCCCCTCGTGTGGAAGGGAGGCTACCTGTAGTACGTGCATGTCCATTCTTTCAATCTTTTTTGTCTCCTCTTTTTTCCATCGCTCGCCAGCCACAGGGCTTCTTCGTTCAACGGCACGACTTTTTAATTGTTTCCGGACCTGGCAATTGTCGCAGACAACGTTCTTTGCGTCCTTCTGCATCTGGTCGAATCTCAGTCCATGTACATGTAGTGTTGAGTAGTGGAGCGCGGTCCATAGACCGGCGGCGTTCGTCAGTACGTGTCGTTTTCAGTCACCCCGGAATAGAGTGAGGCGATCGTGCAAAGGAGCGGGTTTTGAGAGGTGGAAGAGAGAGAGAGAGAGAGAAAGATCGTGGGGTGGTATTGTATGAGTGGGGTTGAAGTTTGTCAGCAATAGATTGTTGGTGTAGTAGGAGTGGGTTGAGAATTGCACAGAGAGAGAGGGAAAAAGAGAGGGACGGAGGGAGGATCGTTGGGGGAGCAGATGCGTACGATTCTGGTGGGGTAGTCTATGGTGGGAAGGAGTGAGTGTGCGGGCGGTGAGTGTGTGTGCAAAGGTCAAGGAATTCTCCGTTCGACTTGAGAGAGACAGACAGATACATAGGTTCACAGACATACTCCACTTACACCTGAAGAGCTATAGGGCGCGCGCCTTGGCTCTGGATCCATTCATCAAGCTTGACCTATTCTGCACGTAATCCTGTCTATACATTGATTCCTTTGCCTACCAAGCTATCTGTCTACCGATTGGTGATTTGGGGTGCAAAACCTAATCCCTCGTCGAGTGGACAAGCAGCTCTCACATCTGCCCCATTTCTTGCACACTTCAAACGACGACGTTTCAGCGCACAGAGAGAGGGAGAGAGAGAGAGAGGAGTATAGGTCATCTGAAGATGGTGAACGTGGAGGTACGGGAGCGTGTGACGAGGAGGTGGTTCGATCGATGGGAGAGTTTCGTTGGGAGCAGTCCTCTTCGATTCGCAGTCGCTGGTAATCGGAAGGTCTCTGTGCGAGACATAGAGGCAGCGGGAGGCGGAGGTGGAGGTGCTGCCACGTCAGCAGTCTGGGCGACGGCAGCGTCGCCCGCTGCCGCTCCCCCGGCGTCCTCTGGAGGACTGGTGGAGTTGCTGCCACGTCAGCATGAAGATGGGGATATGTCGATGTCGGTAGGTAGCAGCAACAGCCATGGCAATGGTGGGGGTAATCGACGGGGGAGGGAGGGGTCAACGGGGGGGGGGAGGAAGAGGAGGGGGGGGGGGTTGTTATGGAGGCCGGAAGTGGCTGTCGCTCATGTAGAAGAGGAGTGTTTCCCAGAACCGGGATCGGGAGCGGTGGCGATGACGACTTGTTGGGTGTCCGCTGATACCGATGATGCAAGCCGCGGCGGCCTTGGCTTCGGAGGCGGTGGAGGAGGCGGAGGGGGAGGCGGAGGCGGAGCGCAGCTGAGGAAGCTCTTGGATAGGGCGGCGGCGGCTGCTGGGGGGGGGTCATCAGTAAACCTATCATCAACTGCAAGTGTAATGGCAACAGCGACGCCCCACTCAGCCGCTGATGATGAGCAACAAGGAGAGGAAGCGGTTGACAAATCTCTCTCTCTCTCTTCTTCTTGTTCTTCTTTGGCTCCTGAAGCTGCGGCGGGTGCAAATTGTAATATAAGTCATCACAATAATAATCCTATTAATAATGTTGTGGGTATCGATTGCTTGTCGGATTTGGCTTTGGCTAAAGTGTTCAGCCATCTGTCATCGACGGACTTGGGCCACGCGTCGCTCGTGTGCAAGCGATGGTGCGATCTGGCGGACCATACGCGAACCCACTTGAAGTTGAAGATTAGCAATCTGTGTCCAGGGAATAATATGGATTCGACGACATCCTCTTCTTCTTCTTCGGAGTCGTGTCCCGACCCCGACGAGCTTCTTCATCGGCTCTTGATGAGGTGGCCCTCGCTGACGCATGTCGAGTTCAACTGCGTCCAGGCGTCGCCGATGCGTACGCCTGGTCGCTATCGCTCCCGCCTGGACTTCGGTAATCACACGATGGATCTGCTGGGGATGATATCGGGGCCCCGACTGCAAGAGCTGGTGCTGATCGAGTGCCTGCACATCGACGCGTCGTCAATCGCCACGTGTCTTCGCCGCTGCAAGAACCTGAAGCGGCTGCATATAGAGCGGCTGAACCTGCGCGGGTGTTTCCACGGAGCGGGGGCTTTCGCCTGCTACTGCTCCATTCAAGATGAGCTCGTCGAGGCCATCAGCGAGGTCAACACGTTGACTCATCTTTGGATAGAGGGATGTACAGGTCAGATCACGTCGGGGCAGCTGACACGTGTCTTATCCACTCCGAATTTGGAGTCGCTGGCTCTCGACGTGAAGATGTGGCCGTGGCCTGAGATCGTGACGCTGGAGCAGGGAGCTGGCGGAGGAGTGGGGGTGGACGCGCCCTCGCCCAACGTCGTTTTCCCGCCAAATAACAAGATGAAGGAGCTGACATGGATCTCGCTTCATCCGATGTACTACCCGAACTTCGTCACGCTGACGCTTTCCTGCACCAATCTGGAGACGTTGAACCTCAGCTGCTGCATCCTGGAGGCGGGAATCATGGGAGTGGTGATGAGGGAGTTGTGCAAGGGGTTGTTGGCCTTGAGGTTGGTGAGTTGCAGTTTTGGAGGCCACTCGTTGCTGCCGTTCCCAGAGGTGTTGTGTCCAAGGCTAAAGGAGCTGCAGATTGTAGGCACGTCGGGGGCAGCAGACATTCAGTGTATCGCGGAGTCGTGTCCAGCGCTGAGACGGCTGGTGGTAGAGGAGCCGGAAATCATGATGCTGCAGGAGCGACACGTGTCATGCGGATGTGGATTGGGCTCAGCGATATACCGATTAGCATCGAGAGCGAGGAGGGCGCTCCGCGTTCGCGGCCGACGGTTGTCCACTTGGCAGCCTGGTGCTGTCTTCTAGACTCCCCTCCCTCCCTCCCTCCCCTCTTTTTGTGTTCTTGTTGTTGTTCTTGTACATCTCATGCTGGAGAGAGAGAGAGACCGAGAGACAGAGAGAGAGAGAGAGAGTAAAGAGAGGAATAGCATTTGTCTTAGGGGAGGATGGGATTGTTGGGTACACGTCGAGGTGGTGGAATACGGATGCTGGTGATCCGTGTTTGACGGGCAGGCTGGGAGGCGACAAGTGGCATGCGGATGAGCTCTGCGGAATACTTGCTGGTATAACGACGAAGGCGTGAAGAGTATAGGATATGGAGGTCTGCTGTGGCAGTGGTTAGGTGATAATAGGTAGAGTTGCATGCGCGAGAGAGTGGCTTTGGCAATGGGGCGGGGAGAGGTGATTTGGATTCGAAAGGCTCTCGCCGCGTTGTGTATGTGTATGGCTTCTCGACGACGAGTGTGAGACGAGTATGAGAAGCACGGTGGCTTATTTGCTTATTGCGTGAACGAGGGAGGGGAGCTCCCAAGTCTGGATGGAAGTAGGTAAGAAAAAGGTTATGATGATGAAGTGGGCGGCGAAGTTATCGGCTTTGTTTTGTCGTGACTCGCGTCACACAGAGAGAGAGAAAGAAAGAGAGAGAGAGAGGATTGTTTATAGTGAAGAGTTGAAGGAGAGGGCGGTGTCGAGGAAGATGAGGCCTCGTTGATTTGTATTGTATATATATACATATATATATATGAGATTGCGATTAGAGCTTTAGACATTTGGTGCGAAGGCCGATGATGGATTGTCGACCGTAGACGCAATTTCGTTGATCAGAATCACAATTTCGTTAATTAGAATCTTTTGTAGTTTCATCATTGTAGAGACCTTCCGTTTCCGTTCGTTTCTTATAGAGTTGCGTCTACCTACCTAATAGCATCGCGCTCGCACTAGGGGGGGAAATATCCTACATTGAGACACAGAGAGAGAGAGAGAGAGAGGTGAAGACAAGTGACGGCATTTTTTTGTCTTGTCGGTCACTAGGAGGTTTGAAAGAAGGTTTGAAAGAAGTTGCAGTAATTCTTAAATAGGCTTAAATAGGGAAATGGCGCGCGATCCCATATCAATGGATGCTGTCCACGCAATTCTTCGGCGGTGAATTATTGATATGCGCCGACTCGCTGAAAATCTCCAGTGGTAGAGAGAGAGAGAGCGAGAGCCAGAGAGAGAGACAGAGAGAGAAGAGAACTCTTTGTACGCGGGAGGAGTTGGGGAGTCCAGAGGAGAGGAAGTGGTTGGATGTGACGAGTTTTTATGTCCCTCCATAGGGGGAGGTATTCATGCCGTTTGATTTCTAAATTCAACTTCTAGCCTACTACGATTGGCGCGCCTTTGTTTTT